GCCGAGTTTGAGTGACTGCCGGAGAGCTGCTGTGAACATTTCCCGGAATCACAGCAATCTCGAGCTCGTTGTTCAGATGGGAAGCCTGAGGCCGGGCACGAAGGAAGATGAACTGGCACCAGGCCCCGGAGGCGGACCCCTGACCGCAGGACTCCTGACCCCCGGCCTGGGGCCACTCTGCTAGGTCTGCCCCAGACACAGCACCAGACCGAGCCTCCCCCCACCCCCCACCCCCCAGAGCCCTCCCAGCCGGGACCCAGAGCCTGGCTGGGAACTAGGCCAGGCCCTGAGCAGGGGGTAGTGAGCAGGAGTTTCGGTCAGAGCGCGGTCATCTTTGATGTTGTTCACTCGGGTCTGACTCCCTGGTATTTATTTGCAATTAAGGAGCTGGTGCCTAATTAGGTTGATGGCGGGACCACAGCCTTGGAGCCACGAGGAGAAAAAGATCTGCAAAAGACTGTCCCCTTGCACCCTGAGTGGCAGCCTGGCGGAGGAGTGGGGCTTTGCCACCGCGGGGAGGGCAAAGGTTTGGGGGCCCTGCTTTCTCACTCGCAGAGAGCATGTCGGATTGCGGCAGCCACACTGCATGAGACCCGAATCCACACGTGTGTGTATGTGTGCGTGTGTGTGTGTGTGAAAGTGTGTAAACAGAGCCACAGCGGCACTTGACTTAGTTCTAGACAGTACCAGTACCGTGGGTTACAGTTCGTGAAGGTGGGGGGGTCGGGGGGGTGGGGAACTGCCATCTGCTATCCTGTTGTAACCTCCCCTGGTGGTGACCCTGGGTTGTGACTCCCGACACCCCTCAGGAGCCCTGGCCTTTGAAGGGTTAGGGCCAGCACTGGGGCCAGTAAATGGACAGCTACGTCTTTTTGCGCCCCATTGATCTCCTGCTGGAGTTTCCCGAAAATCCAAAGATGATCTGTATAAATGAGGCGCTGGATTATGAATAAATCCATCTTACCTGTGGGAGACTGAGGCTTAGGGACACTCAATGGCTCGTCCATGGCCACACATCCGACCAGTGGTGAGAGCCTGAGGTCCATCTCACTCTGAAACCCTTCGGCTCATGTGATGAGCATTAGATTAGAATTCTAGGTTCTCAAGTTCTGGCCCCAGTTCTGCCCTCTGCTGCTGTGTGTGCTCAGGTGAGTCGCCCTGTACCCCTGGGGTGCCATCTGTGTGGCGTGAGGACATTGGATTCAATTAGTGTTTCCCACAGGCCAGTCTCAGGAGTACGTTTTCCCTGATTCACAAGGAAAGAAGAAAATTTCTTGTAATCCACTTGGTTAACTTTGACATTTCTGATATAGGCCTTATCTGTTTTATTAGTATCAAATTACACTTTCTTTTGTGCTAGTGGTAGTGGATGGTTTTGGGATTTGTAATAAGTCTACACATGACAAAATAAAACAGTAGTAACCCTGTACATTCACAATCCCTCCGTTAAACAATGTATTGGTTTGAGAAAGGCCAGAGTGTTGGGGTTCCCTGGATAAGATGATGTCACTGGGTCCCCCAAGCTCTGGAGCCCCAAGACCCCAAAAGCTGGATGGGGACCGGGAGGTCCTGACCATGGTGATGTGCTTATTTGCTGGCTTGCTCTCGGGAGACCTCAGACCTTGTCCACCATCCCTTGGGGCCTGCGACCACTGGCCCCAATCCAATGGGAGCTGGAGGTGAGGGCAGTGGGCTGACTCTTGGGATGAATTTTTATTTCCTCCCTCCTTCCTTTTTAGCATGTTCTGAGAGCACCCTAGGGATACATGCAGTCTTGGGACAGAGGTAGAGAGGACTGAGGCCCACCCTTTCCTACTGGAAAGTCTAGACCAGCCAAGGGCACTGACCGGCAGCATAGACACCTGCCCAGGCCTCGGAAGTGACCATACTGAAGGCCATTGGTGCATGGGAGGGAGGGATCAGGGAGGGCTTCTCAGAGGCAGCAGTCCATGTCCTGGAATTTGCAAGCCTTGGCCAGGAGCCCAGGCATGATGAAGTGTTACCCAGTCTGCTTAACCAGAGAGGCTGCAGGAGGTAAGGCCTGGCCCAGCCAGTGTCCCTGAGCCAGACACTTGGGGCAGGCTGTGTCCTTGGGTAGCTCTGTGGGGTTCATCTCCTAAGCACAGGATCCGGTCCTGTGAGGAGTAATGGGGCAGGGCTGGGATGGGGGTAGATAATGAGGGGCATTTGGCCTGGCTGGGGTGGGAGGAGCTAAGGGGAGGGGGACAGGGCCCCCCAGCACCGGCCCTGAGTTCCATTACTCTCAACCTCCCTCCTTCCCTCCTTCCCCCACCTCCCCCTGCCCCAATTCTGACTGCCAAAGTGCTTCTTTGCCTTTTACTATGGAGGGGCTCCACCCTGGGGCAGAGCTGCCACTTTACGACTGGGTGGCCCTCTGAGCCTTATCTGTAAAGCGGGGAAAGCAGTAAGTCTCACTCAGTGAGGCTGCTGAGCCGTCGGGAGCGAAGGCCTTTCAGTGTGGGGCAGGGGAGTGACTCACCGGCTGTGGGTGGGCACCCCTAGGACTCAGACCGTGAGAGCAGCCTCGTTACACACAGGAAGACTGCGGGGGGCTTCAGGGGGGAGACTGCCTGGAGTGTGGGCAAGAGCCCCGCTCTGGAGTGTGGCCTGGCACCGATGCTGGCTCTGGCGCTCGCTCCTCTGGACCCTTGACCAGCTCACAGCCCCTCCCTGCGCCTCAGTTTCCTCACCTGTAAAATGGGGTGATGATAGAAATGAACCAAGGCTGTTGGGAAGAAGGCGCCTGGCTGATGGAAGGCTTTCGGTGATGCGCGTTGCCTCTCCTATCCCCCAGCATTCTCCAGGCCCAGATGTTTGCCTCCCTACCTCTCCGTGTCTCATGCACTAGAGGAATCGTCACCGCTCCCGAGAAGGCTGGCGCTGAGGTTTCACGGCCAGGCTGGGACAGCACTGCTTTCCTGGCACTTAGAAACTCCCAGACCAGGGATCCCTGGGTGGCTCAGCAGTTTGACGCCTGCCTTCAGCCCAGGTCGTGATCCTGGGGTCCCAGGATCGGTCCCGCATCGGGCTCCCTGCAGGGAGCCTGCTTCTCCCCCTGCCTGTGTCTCGGCCTCTCTGCGTGTGTATCTCATGAATAAATAGATTTAAAAAAAAAGAAAGAAAAGAAAAGAAACTCTCAGACCTGTACCGGATGGATGCCTGGAGAGAGGGGCGGTGGCCTGGAGTGCCCTGGCTGCCCACCTGCTGGGCCTGGCCTAGTGCCTGCAGCTCGGTCACCCCCCACAGGCTAGACCTGTTGCTCTACCTGCTGGCCAAGGGGCAAGGATCAGAGTCTCTTCTCTCCCCACTGGCTAGACCCAGGAGGAGCCTGCAGGAGACTCTGAGGCAAATTAGTACATTCCCAGGGGGTGGCCTAGGGACCTGTGTCTGGGACCTCAGCAACCAGGCAGAGGGTGAGGGGCACGCCCTTTGGTGCTGTGCCCAGTCCAAGGCCTCAGCGGAGTTGGCGGCCTACAGGAGGCCCTTGGGGAAGCCGGTTTCCTGCTAGGTGGCTGGGCGGGCCTCCCAGCGCATAGGAGGATCTGAGGGGCCCTGTCACCCTGCTGCCCTGGGCCTTCTAGGCGGGGCTGGGCGACAGGCAGACGGAGTTGACCTCGCCCAGGCTCCTGAATGAAGTTGTTAGCAGTGTTTTCTACCTCGGGTTTGGTTGGACTTCGGTCCTTTTCTCTTGGGGCAGACATGCCCTCAAGTGCCTCGCTGTGCTCCCATCACATTCTCAGGAGAACTCCCCGTGCGCGTAAGCCCCATGCAGGAGCTGTGTGGGAACGTGCTGCCTCACTCCGAGCAGTCATGGGTGCCCACCTGCCTCTCAGAGCTGTGGGCTCAAAGGAAAGACCAGATGTTCAAAGCCTTCAGAATCTGAGAAGCTGGCCACACATGAGAGCAGCAAGGACGGGGCTCAGGCCCTGGCCTCTATCCGGTCTTAGGTCTGGGGTCGGAAAATTATTCATCCAGACGTGCAGAAATGCCTCCAGCTGGAGGGGAAAGGGATCACAACCATCTAGGCCACCCCTTGGCTGTCCAGAGAGGAGCAGCACACACCTTGGAGAGAACTGGCCATCTCTGGAGCCCCTGCAGGGCAATCTGCTTTAAGGCTTAGAGCCCCTCAGCTTCCATGTCTTGCAGAAGGGGCTGCAGTCTGGGTGAAAATGTGCACTTCATGCCAGGAGAGCCGCCTTGAAGGGTGGGCCGCGGGGGTCACTGAGAAACAAGGCATCACGCTCAGCGCCAAGGCTGGGAACAGTCTGGGCTGGAAGGAGGATTCTGGGGGCCGTCTGCCCCACCCCACTGCGCCTTCCCATGCCCGCGTGCCCTGGGAGTGGTGATTTATGCCCCTTCTAACAGCTCAGCCCCTCTCTGTTCAGGTTGAGGCTCGGCCTGGTGGGCTTCAGATCCTGGCAGTGCCACTCACTAGCTGGGTGGCCTTTGACAGGCTGCTCCCACCTGCCAAGTCCCAGATCCTCCTCTGTAAACTGAGGAGAAGGTGGCTTCCTTGTGGAGTGATTGAACACCCAGTGAGGTCAGGTGTAGAGTCAGAAGTGCAGTGTGCAACACCTGCAACCTTGTGGGTGCGCGGTGTTCAGCCCCTCCTTTGGGTGTGTGGGGCAGAGGGATGACAAGGCAGGGGGGTGTTGTCCTGCCCCTGCTGGCTTGAGCTTGGAAAATTCTCCAGGCAGGAGCCGGGTGTGGTTTGTGTTTGTGTACCCGGGGCAGTGAGCACACAGTGGGTGACTCGCCCTCCCTGTGAGCTCACACACGGCCTTCGGTTCCTCCTTTGCTCACGTGTGGACAGGGCTGTTCTGCACACTCAATGCTGGAAACAGCCCCCCCCACCCCTCATCCTCCCCTTGCAGCCCACCCTGCCACCTCCTGCTCCTCACCTCTCCCCCCGTGCACCTGCACCCCACTGCCCCCCACTAACCCCACCCCGCACCCCGTGCCCTGTGCTTGCCCCACAGACGCCAGCATGTCTCCGGATGCCACCAAGCCGAGCCACTGGTGCAGCGTGGCCTACTGGGAGCACCGGACCCGCGTGGGCCGCCTCTACGCGGTGTACGACCAGGCCGTGAGCATCTTCTACGACCTACCTCAGGGCAGCGGCTTCTGCTTGGGCCAGCTCAACCTGGAGCCGCGCAGCGAGTCGGTGCGCCGCACGCGCAGCAAGATCGGCTTCGGCATCCTGCTCAGCAAGGAGCCCGACGGCGTGTGGGCCTACAACCGGGGCGAGCACCCCATCTTCGTCAACTCCCCGACGCTCGATGCACCCGGTGGCGGCCGCGCCCTCGTGGTGCGCAAGGTGCCCCCCGGCTACTCCATCAAGGTGTTCGACTTCGAGCGCTCGGGGCTGCTGCAGCAGGGGCCTGAGCCCGACGCCGCCGACGGCCCCTACGACCCCAACAGCGTGCGCATCAGCTTCGCCAAGGGCTGGGGGCCCTGCTACTCGCGGCAGTTCATCACCTCCTGCCCCTGCTGGCTCGAGGTCCTCCTCAACAACCACAGATAGTGGCGGCCACCGAGGCAGCGGCCTGCCCCCCCCCCCGCCCAGAGACACAGCCCCCCTTCCCTCCACGGACGAGACCCTCCTCCCCTCCCCTCCCCCAAATATCATCTACCTAGATTTAATATAAAGTTTTATATATTATATGGAAATATATATTATACTTGTAATTATGGAGTCATTTTTACAATGTAATTATTTATGTATGGTGCAATGTGTGTATATGGACAAAAGAAAGACGCACTTTGGCTTATCATTCTTTCAATACAAATATATTTTCTCTCCTCTCCTTCTTCTTCCTCTGCTTTATTATTATTATTATTATTATTATTTGTTGTTGTTGTTGTTTTTGGTCTTGTTTTTGTTTCGTTGTGTGTGTGTGTGTGTGTGTGTGTTTTGGTTTTTGGTTTTTTTTTTTAAAGGAAATGATACAGCAGAGCTAGGTGGAAGAGCCTGGGTTTGGTGTATGGTTTTTGAAATCTCATGCCCAGACAAAAAAACAAACAAAAAACAAAAACTAATACCAGTCACTTGTTGATAATAAAGTATTCGCATTATAGCTTTTTTTTTTTTTTAAATGTCTTCTTTTTTAACAAAGAGGGGGCATGCAGGGCTTCAGTGAGTTTCTGGCCTATGGATCCAGCATCCTGAAACTTGATTTCAGTCTTTTACCAGGTAAAGAGTAGAGGTGATAGATTGAGAAGGAAGGAAGCGCATGTGTTTACTGTCAAGGTCGGAGAAGGTTCTGATGCGCCCTCCTGCCATGGCCCCACTGTGTCCTCAGGATTGGGGCAGGGGGCTGGGGGGTGGGGGGAGCTAACCCATCCTGGGTAGTAAGCTCTGCCAGTTTGATGGAGGAGGCTCAGGTCCATGCCTCCCATCTCTGAACTGTGCACAAGCCAGAGGACATTACCTCTCACCACTCTGGGGAAATGGCCTGAGAAAGAAAGACAGGTCCTTGAGCCCACCTGCCACCTTCAAAAAACCCACCCGAGTCCCAGGGTGAAGCTCCTTTGGGACCTAGACAAACCACTCTCCCACCCCTCACCAAAGAGCTCAGAACTAGGCCATGGGGGTTGTATTTAGGATTCACACAAAGGCAGGTTGTTTCTTTCTACTCTATAAAAGGGAAGAGAGTTGAGATTCTGGAAGAGCAAATGACTAGTTCATAACAGATCAGGGTTAGAAGTCACATTTAATGGTAGGACCAGAGCCATATTAAAGCAGTTTTCTCTCTTGAGAAAACTCAAAAAAAAAAAAAAAAAAAAGGCTGCCTTGGCCAGATAACTAAGGGGAATGTTACATTGTATATCTTCTTTCTTGGAGATTTACATTAGCATATTAAATGCTCTGAGAAGTCGTGTGTATTATCTGTCGCTGCGTAATAAATCCTCCTAAAACGGAGCAGCTTGAAACTGACATTTCTTATCTCGCAGTTTCTGTGTTCAAGAATGCAGGAGGGCTCGCGGGGTGCTGGGGTTCAGGGTCCCGTGGGCTGCAGTCGAGCTGTCGGCCAGGGCTGCAGGCATCTGAGGCTTGTCTGCAGCCCCACGACCCGCTTCCACGCTCCCTCACGGGGCTGTTGGCTGGAGGCTTCAGTCCCTCACCACTCGTGATGTGGCTTCCCCCAGAGCAAAGGGTCCAAAGGAGAGAGACCAAGAGGGCAGCCGCCGTCCTTTATCCCCTTACCTCGAAAGTGACGAAAGTGACGTGCGTCTCCTCGCCAGAGTCTACTGATCCTGAGACCCACTCCTGCTAACGACGAGGGAGGGAGCACGAGAGAATGAATGGCACGGGGCGGGGGACCGTGGCCACCGCATCCCCTGAGAAATACACCATTTTATTTTCTTTCCCCGAGTTACTTCCCGATGGAGTCTGGTCCCCACCCCTGCTGATCCTGTCCCCGCACCCAGGCCTCCTGCACCTCTGGCACGGGCAGCTGCTGCACACACCGGGGACCGCACACCGAGGCCCTGTCCTGAAGGTGCCCACCAGCGATGCTTGCCTTCCTGGGCTATTCTTGGTGTGGGGTCGGTGTGGGGGCCGCTTCGGTCTCGGGCAGTTAGCAGAGTGTGAGATGGAATAAGGAGCCGGTTCTCCGGCCCTGGTCCTCACAGGCAAGTGACAGGCTAAGGGTGGCGGAGGGGACAGGAGCAAAGGGCTGACGCCGTGGGAATGGAAGAAACCATGGGGTGTCCATTGCATGGAACACCCAGGAGGCAGGGGAAGGTAGTCTTCAGACACTCGTGCTCTGGAGCCAGGTTGCGTGGGTTCAAATCCTGCGTCTGCCACTACAGAGTGACTCCAGAGACCTCCCAGCGTGCCTCGGTGTTACCATGAGGTGGTATAAAATGGGGATAGGATTGTTCCTGCCTGGGGAGTAGGTTCAAATTGGGAGAAATAAGGACATCACACAGTTCCTGGTCCATCATCAGTGCGTATCCGCTGTTAGTAATATGGGGCTGGGATGGGAGAGGGAGGCTGGGGCCCTCCGATGTCAGGACAAGGAGCTGGGGTGACAGGTGGGGGGTGGGAGGGGGCTGGCTTCTGAGTGGGCCAGGGAGGGGATCATTGTGGGCCTTTAGAAAGCTCCTTGTAAGGGCTTCCCAGCAGGAGGGCTAGGCTGCAGGCCGAATGAGCGGGCTGAGCCCTGCGCCCAGCCTGGCTCCCCAGCACCCAGTGGTCACCAACGCCAGATTCGAGAGGGACTCTTCACTCTCAGAGGAAGTGGCCAGTCACCCCATGGTGCCTGGGTGTGGAAGTAATCATCAAAACACTTTATCAGGGATCAAGAGGGATCGGAATCAACTCTCCCATTTCATAGATGAGGAAACTGAGGCCCAGAGCAGGGAAGCACTCCCCTCAATCCCGTACTCATGGATGTCTGGATGTGCCCGGATTGCCTACCCCCGACCACCAGATCTACTCTGTGCAGACCAGATAGGGACACACTTTTGCCACCTTCTGGATTATCAGGGTGCCCAATTGGCTGGATGACATCAATTCTAGAATTCAGCCTCACAGGCCATGCTCTTCCTCAAGGACAACTTTCCCCTGGTTCCCTTGCCAGGCCACACCCTCTCACTCTCCCCCACCACTCTCAGGCCTGTGCCTCCCAGAGGCCCGACTCCCTCTGCCGTCCAGTACTGTCCAGGCCTTGGTCCTCCTCTCGAGCACTGAGCAGAGCTGAGCTGTTCCACGTGAGGGTGAGCCAGGAGTCTCTGGGTTTTTCTTCTTTTCAAGTCAATAACTGGCAACAGGCACTGTGAGCCCTTTCTACATGCTCAGAACTGTGCACCTGGTGTCCAGGAGCACCTCCGTGGGCAGGGTCTCAGCCATGCCCCCTTTGCAGATGGAAAGACTGAGGCTTACGCGAATGCTGTCATTTGCTCAAACTCCGGGAGGACGGAACAAGCCCTCTGTGTCAAGGGCCAGCTGGGGGATCCTCCTGGGTGCTGGATGTCATCGGCCTAGCAGGAGTGGACCTGACCCTCAGGGACAGTGTGCCAGCACGGGGGGGCTGATCTGGGGCCCTGGACCATCAACCTCCCAGCTCTTGTCCCAGCCCCATCCCGAGGCTGCAGACTGCTCCGAGGTCCTTGGGTGGCCTGAGACTCCACCTCCAGCCCCTCCATTTACAGGTGGGGAAACCGAGTCCCAGACACAAGAGGCTGAGTAGCCGAGGTCACAGAGTGGGGGCAGGGCCTGCCCCCCTCCCCCCGCCCCATCCCCTCTCCCCCAATCACAGTAAGGTACTCGCAGTAACTCTGTGGTTTCCCCCAGACCACCCAGGGACCCAGTGACTCAGGCTTTAAAGGAGACACTTTCTAAACAAGGCCTGGTCTCCGGATAGTGTGGTAGGAGCCTGGTCCCCACGGGCCCTGGGAAGCCTGGGCGGAGAGGGGGGGCCTCACTGCCTCCAAACCCAGGCTCAGGCCTGGAACGAGGAGGGAGGGATTTCCTGCCATTACTAGGCTTTTGGAGACGGGCGAGTCCCTCCACTGCCACCTCTCTCTGTTCCACAGCCCACCCCCATCTCCACCCTCCCCTGCCTTAGTGTCTGGGGGTATAGAGGGGAGTAGGGGGGTTGATCTAGGAGGGAGAGAAGCAGAACTAGGAAAGGGGGTCGGGACACCTGGTGGCTCAGTGGTTGAGCGTCTGTCTTGGGCCCAGGGCGTGATCCTGGGGTCTTGGGATCGAGTCCCACATCGGGCTCCCCGCAGGGAGCCTGCTTCTCCCTCTGCCTGTGTCTCTGCCTCTCTGTCTCTGTGTCTCTCATGAATGAATAAATAAAATCTTTAAAAAAAAAAAAAAGGCAAGTGGGGGGCTGGAGATCTTGATTCCTGCTTCAGGTGACAAAACCCAAGGCCCAGAGAAAGGTGTGAGTAGCCTGAGGTCACACAGCAAATTCAGGGCAGAGCTGAGCCTAAACCTCAGGTCTCAGATCTCCTGGTCAGGCTACTTCCCGTGTATTCGGGCAGATTCCATCGGTGCTCCGGAGGGCAGGCGTGTACCTCTGTTCCCCTCCGAGAACTCCCCTGTTCTAGAAGCCCCTATTCCACTCCCGTCCTCCCCCGACACACGGTTCAGGGGGCTTAGTGGCTGCAGCTGCCTTGTTCAAATTATGACCGCTGCTTACCAGTTATGTGAGCTGAGGCAAGTTACTTAACCTCTGTGCCTCAGTTTCCCCATCTGAATGCTAATAAGAGTGTTCATCTCCTAGGATTGCTGGGAGGACGACAGCATGAACATGTGCTTGGCACTCAGAACCGGCATGGATTAAGCTCTCAGCAAGGACGTTTACAAATTAGAGTCAGTAGTATAATCTGGGGCCTGGCACAGAGCTCAGGGCGGTAAGGAAGGCTTTGGCTGGGGGTGAGCAAGTGTTAAGAACTCGGATCCAGACCCCTCGACTTGCTGTTGGCATTGGGCGATCCCCCGACCTGTGTGGCCCTCTGTGCCTCAGTGAGAAAGGAAGTCTACCATCCACTGGGACATCTGTAGTCGGGGACACAAGGGCCTCCCCAGACAGCTGCTGTGGCCTCTTTTTTTTTTTTTAATATTTTATTTATTTATTCATGAGAGACACAGAGAGAGGCAGAGACACAGGCAGAGGGAGAAGCAGGCTCCCTGCGGGGAGCGTGACGCGGGACTTGATCCCAGGACTCCAGGATCATGCCCTGAGCTAAAGGCAGGCACCAAACTGCTGAGCCACCCGGGGATCCCCTCCTGTGGCCTTTTAACCGGGCCTCCTGCCCCCCTCCTGCCTGCTCCAACCTACCGTCCACCCGCAGTGATGCTGTACGCCCAGTGTGGCAGTGCCCTGCCTCTGCAGGACGGTGACCTCCCTGATGCCCCTGCACCCTCTGGATAGAGAATCGCCTCTTGGAGTGCCTGGGGGGCCCTAGGGAGTCTGGCGATGCCCCAGCTCCACCTGGCCCACCCCCTTCATACGGCACACTCCAGACCTCTCTCCCCTGGGCCTTTGCCCAAGCTGATCCCTCCTCCTGCCATGACCCCGTCTGCCCAGTCCAAGTTCTGGCCATATTGTCCCCTTTTTCTTTCCAGGGAGTATTCTGGAAGCCAGAGCTGTCTCTTGTCCCATTTGCCCCCCTATGGCCCTGGGTCAGCCCCATGCTGAGCACAGACTCCCTGACTGTTTGTGGAATAAAGGGGTCACAGAGGTAATGGATGTGGGCACATTTTATAAACTCTAAAGGACCAAGAGGGCCTCCAGAGGGGGGGGGTGTTAACTGTTCTCATGTGTCTCCATGACAACGCCACCTGGCTCCTCCTTACAGACCCCTGAGAACCCTCACTCATCCTTATCTTAGGCCATCAAAGAGATATCCCCCAAATTTTAGGATATAGACTCAATAGACATCCAAGCTGAAAAGGCCTTAGAGTGCATCTAGTTCCATCACTGTCACAGAACTGAGGCCCAGAGAGGGGCAGCATGCTAACCAGGGTCACACAGCAAGACAGTGGCCAGTGGAGGCCAAGCCCATGACCTGGAGCTCCATCCAGAGCTGGCATCTCAGTGATGCTGCAGGGGCTTCTGTGAAGCCAGCATTGGCCTGAGCAAAGTAGTTGAGAGGCAAGAAGGCAGAGGCACAGATCATTTTTTATTTTGCTTGTTTTTATTTGTGGTAAAATATATACATTGCATATAATGGGCTAGACTGACCATTTTTAAGGATATAATTCAGAGGCCTTATGGACATTTGCACTGTTGTACAACTATCACCACCACTTCTAGAATGGTTTCATTTTCCCCAAACCCTTTCTTTATGTTATTGCGGCAAAGTGAGAGTAATGTAACATTTGCTACTTTAATAGTTTTTTTTACATGCACAGTTCTGTGGCCTTGAGTGCATTCTCATTATTCTGATCCCTATGCTTTGTAATAACAGGGAAAT